TCCAACGTGATGTCTCATCAAAGTGCCTTGACATCCAACATGGCAGCTCAGCAAAGAATTCGGTCCTCCAACCTTATGTCTCAACAAGGAATTTTAATATCTAATGTCGAGTCGCATAGTGTCACACCCACCATACAAACGCAATATGCAATTCCAGCTAGACATAAGCCTAATCCCGGATCGTTCATATTTGAAAAATTGGCATTCCTTGACCCCCGAGTCTCGCGTTGCTATGGTTGTGGGGACCAATTAAAGCCAGGGGGTAATTTGCCATCTCCACCTAATGACCTGGTTATGACAACACGACTGCACCGAAGGTATTACAAAGAGGGACAGTTGCAAGTTTCGCTAGAGATAAAACCAGTGTATCTCATGGTAGTTCATATTGCGCTCGATCTGCCTACAAAGATTTCAACGCAGCATCTTGCCAATTACCGGACGATCTAAGGCCACACCTTCAGAAAGAGCACTATGATTTGATACTTAAGGGATTAGGTATCAAGTTATTTAGTAATACAATCTAGCATATTTTTCGTTGAGGTATTTGAACTATTTTTTCAGAGTTGAACATTTCATCTGGAAAATTTCATGTTGGTAGGCATTATGTGCTATTCCACTAAATGAATCAGACCAATTTTTTCCTGAAACATTTAAACAATTTTTCATTGTGTTATATTTTAAGCTGCCATATTTCTTGAGTCTGTGAGGGGCAAGATATTTTTGAAAGTGTCGCGTATCGATTTATTCCACGAGGAACTTCCTAATTATGGACGTTTCCCAGATGACCCCATCTCCCCCCCCCCCCTCTTACAAACCTAACACGAAATTGAACAGGGGTCGGTTGTATCAAAGGCGTTTGGCTTAAAGGGTGTATAGGCAAAAAATTAAAAACATTCCTTCTCAATATACATATATTGTAAGTACTTGAACTTAATTTTTATCAACTAAATGAGTAGTTTTATGCATTGTTATTATGTTTAGACAGAAAAGAAAAGTTTTGTAATCAATAGTTCATAGATTTGTTTAATTTATACAACCGATCCCAGATCTACTTATCGGCCGTTGTTCGCACGCAAACAAATATGTAAATGCTCATATTTAACTATTGGCAAACGGTTGCCGGTGGTCAGAATGTCTGACACCATCAATCCAAATTTCGTAAATTAGTATTGCAGGAAACATGCCGATTGTCGGAGAATCTTTTTATCGAGTATATATTTATAAAGAATATCGTGTACACAACGCAACCACGTCCAAATTACGTTTCTCCTGGGATAAATCGATGTGGACGTGTTAAATAGCAAAGGTGTTTCTGTTTACATAAAAATCAAGAAATCATCTATATCTATATAGCATTACCTAGCTGTCGGTAAATAATTTGGTATTTATTCCACATTTACTTACAATGGCCGATGCTTCTTGAAACTTTACGTTAAATATCGATGAGATCTCTTATACACTAAAGTTGATGTTATTAAAATTACAATTTACAAAAAAACAGTCAAGCAACATAATTGAGTCCATGTTTTACTAATCGAGTCCATGTTTTACTAATCGAGTCCATGTTTTACTAATCGGGTCCATGTTTTACTAATCGGGTCCATGTTTTACAAATCGAGTCCATGTTTTACTAATCGAGTCCATGTTTTACTAATCGAGTCCATGTTTTACTAATAGAGTCCATGTTTTACTAATGGAGTCCATGTTTTACTAATCGGGTCCATGTTTTACTAATCGGGTCCATGTTTTACTAATCGAGTCCATGTTTTACTAATCGAGTCCATGTTTTACTAATCGAGTCCATGTTTTACTAATAGAGTCCATGTTTTACTAATAGAGTCCATGTTTTACTAATCGGGTCCAGTCCATGTTTTACTAATAGAGTCCATGTTTTACTATTAGAGTCCATGTTTTACTAATAGAGTCCATGTTTTACTAATCGGGTCCAGTCCATGTTTTACTAATGAGTCCAGTCCATGTTTTACTACATGTCCTGACAAGCGCGTCATGAATATAGTCAATTTTCGCTAATTCCTCTAATTATAAGCTATAATCCCCGAGCCGGCGGCGCGAAGCGCCGTGCGAGGGTACTAATCCCCCCGGCTATTTACACCCGGGGAAACGAAAGCATTAGCCAAGTCTAAAGCATTGAACTATAAATAAACTGGAAGGCTAACTGCTATGATGAAGGCCTATGATTTGATGAAGCCAAAATAGTTTTTCTGAGTTATGAGCAGAAATACTTGACCCCAAACGTCGGCCTATATATCAAATTGAAGCTATTGAAAATTGCTATTCGGTGTGGAAATTTCAAGACTTCAGCGAAAAGAAAACTATTTAAAAGATACAAAAACAACTGCAAAATGGCAAATTATCGGTAATTTTGTTTGTAGTTTTTCAATATTTCCCTTTTAGCTAAAGTCTTGAAATTTCCACACCAAATAGCGTTTTTCAATAGCTTCAATTTGATATATAGCCCAACGTTCAGTGTTGAGTATTTCTGCTCATAACTCAGAAAAACTAAAATACACTGGCTTCAATTTCCCCCCCTGAGTTAGCCTTCCAGTTTATTTATAGTTCAATGGTCTAAAGTTCATCAAATATCGCGGGCGTGACCAACGAACCTTGAGTGGGTGGTCATCCTCACTGATCTCAAAAATATGGCGGACTGTCATGGATAGCGAACACTGATTGGTCAAATTTAAAATTTGTTGTTGTATGACAAATGACGACTTCAACTGACAGATACTTCATGAAAATAATTTGCTTTTTACACTACAGTATTTTGTACGTTTGCAAAAAACTTTGACAGCTTTCAAAGCAATTTGTTCTATAAAACGTTTAATAAAACAATTACGGTATCAAATACCAATTGAAAAGATATGGAGCCAAATGAAGAGCGGCAAGGAAACGACAAGAAAGCCGAACGTCTGGCGAAAAGGAGGGAGCGAAGACGACAACGTTTGCTCGAGGAGACTGCTGAGGAAAGAGAAGCTCGCCTGGGAAAGCGTAGAGAAGCATGGAAAAAAAAGACTGCTGAAGCGAAACTGGGTAAGCAAAGGCTTGTCTTCACAACGCTATGTACCAATGATACTGTAGCTATACAAGTTGAAGTATGATATTCGACCCTCTATATATTCGACTATTTCTTCACAATTTTCCAATAAAGAGTTTGTCATGACACGCTCAAGTCAGTATAACCAGACTGTATTTTATTTATATCAGTTATCACAGCCACAGGCAATTTTATGCTGTCAAATACCGTCGGTTGCAACTAAGGGTGAACAGTTGCAGATAAAAATTCTCTATTCTCATTAAAAAGCCTGTAAAGGTTTCCAGTAGGTCTCTAGCCCAACACGTTCAGACCACACAAAGTTTTGTTACTTATTATTGTACACATGGGAAACAATAATTAAGTGTTGTTGTTCTTGACAAACATTGAAGATTCTAATCACGCGAATGTTTTTATGAGCGACTGTTCATCGTTAGTTGCAAGCGACGGTACAACATACTATGAACATTTTTCCGACTGTGACCGAATGTGCAACGATATATTTTTCAAAGTTGTTATCAATTCCTAAAATTTGTTTATAGTAAAACGGCCTGCTCAGCACTCACTACTCACGATGATTTCATTTAGAAATGCAGTTACCAGGAAAGGAACTGATTCTAAAATATGTAAATTTAAAAGCATTGGCTAACAGAATAAAGCGATGTAAAGACAAGGTACAAACTTTTATAGTTGCTGTTTATATACAAACGTTTATATTTGTTATAAAATCCTATAAATAAACCGATTCAACAATAATTTTGCCTAGAATTTGCATATTCTATGCTGCATGTTTATATTTTATTTTTATAGTATAAAAATAAAATTGTAATACTATGAAATAAAATACATTTCTGTTTATTGACCAGTACTTATTTAATGTCTTCTTCATCCAGTGGTCAGAGTAAATTTCTACTTCCAGCAAGTAAATATTTGACAAGCAGTCTGGAATAAGCACAGGACTTTTAATGCATCAGCCAAATCCAAGTGTGCCCATCCCCCTCGCCCAGCCATTTTCCTGTAAAGCACATCCCGGGGGTTGGGCATTTCCACTCGAACCTTAGCCCCGGCCGGGGCATTTGAAATTAATAATTTGGATTCTTGCACTTCACTTGTGGAATTAATATTAGAATGTTAGGGTTTGTAATCCAAGTGAGAATATATGCATGTATATATTTTGTAATCCAAGTGAGAATATTTTGTAATCCAAGTGAGAATATACAAATGTATAGTACATGTATATATTTTGTGTATATATTTTGTAATCCAAATGAGAGTAGTTTGTAATCCAAGTGAGAATATACAAATGTATATATTCTCACTTGGATTACAAACCCCAACATTCTAATTTTAATTCCACCAAGTGAAGTGCAAGAATCCAATTTATTGAAGTCCACCTTATCACAACCGCACACCCGATTACCTAAATATACATGAACTTACGGTTAAAGCTCAACAGCTGGCCTCTGAAGCTCAGTTGGTTAGAGCGCTGCACCGGAATCGCAGGGCCGTAGGTTCAATTCCTACTGGAGGACCTTGTGCTGCTTTTTTCGCAGTCGTTCCTGGTTAGGTCTTAAAATGTATATATTCTCACTTGGATTACAAACCCTAACATTTTAACATTTGAAATTAAGGATTTGAAGGTTTTGCGATCACTAATAACTTGATAATAATATAAAACAAAACACTTCTATCTGCAACTTTTACAATCACTGATAACTTGATAATAATTTAAACCAGTCAAGTTGTAGTTTAAATAGAGAATAATACATGGGTGCACGAAATACCAGATTTATTTCGAGTGTTGAACATGAGTGTGCAGCGAACAAGTGAGCGCAGCGAACGAGTGAGATGTCATGTTCAACA